AATTATCTTCTCCCTCCTCTTTCAGGACCAACTCAATCTCTCTCCTTTGCTGAGGGAGCACTGTTCAATTTCTCCTTACTTCACCAATATCGTGTCCAAAGCCAAAGCTCTAGCCAGACATGTTAAATCTAATCCTTTAAGACATTTACTTCCTCTTATTCAACTCCCACCAACCAGTTAACAAACTTAGATTCTACTACCTCTACATCTCTTACGTCCATCGCCTTCTCTCCACTCATACCACAGCCATGCTAATTGAGGCCTTGATCACCTCTCACTTGTTGAGACTTATTACTAAGTCATCTAACAATGACTCCCGATGATATGACTTTCTTTTTTAAATATTCACAAATGTCTTTTTAGAGAAGTTAATCTAGAATTCTGCAAGAGAATATAAAACTTACTGGTCTAAAATTCCTACAATCCACCTAGATATCTGTCTATCATATCTCCTGATATCTCTGCCATTCTCCAAAATTTACTGAACATTATCAGGAATGACTCTGAATTCCTTTAAAGTGCTCTCTTGCTACATCCTCGTGCTATGATTCCTTTTAGGCACTTTGACTTGACCTTTTTCATTTTGAAGACTTAGCTTCTTGGAGAAAATTAGAACCATACAGGATATGGGCAATTCTGGATTCTCTGTCATAGTTGTTGTTTTTGTTCCTCCAAGTTCAGACACAGGCATACAAAAAAACCACCATCACCATCAACATCATTACCATCCACCCTAAACTCCAAATCCTCCCTCTTCCCTTCTATCACCAATAAAAAGCCCCTTTCGTTATATTTAGCATTGTTGTAAGCCTCAGCTCATTCTGGGATCTATCCTTTCTAATACTGTTCTCATAGCTTTGAGACATTCTTTAAATTATTACTTGCTTATATGATTCTTTTTCCATCTTTTCTTTCTCACTGGGATTGTTTACGATTTATTAGTTAGAATTTTATTTTACAAATAATCATTCCTTATGAGCTGTATTCGTTTTTAGAATCTCTGGTCATAGTATCATATCTACTAGCCCAAATTTTAAAAATCAGCTTTCCTAATGTCTAAGGCATTTTTTTTGTCTGACTATTCCTTTGCTCCCATGGCTTTTAAGACTGAGTGCTGAGAACAAGGGTTCCCAGAGGATAACCAGGAGATACTATAGAAGACTATGAATCAAAGACAATTCAAGAAACAGTGCTGGATCTTCAAGAAGTCAAGACTTCAAGAAGCCAAGAATGCCCCTTTGGCAAATTACCCAATTTTAAAAAGCAAAGCTGATTCCTTTGGGCTTAAAGATATTCCCTCAAGGACCAATATAGGCAATCATTAAGGACTCTCCATAGATTGATACTTCTATCTGTCTTGATGACAGTTTGAGGCTTGGCCCTTTATGTCAAGGAAATGCAAATGTGTCGTTCTCAACTGCTACTACTGAGGGCAGCATCAGAATTTCCTTGGTCATATTACTTGTATTTTATTGAGCAAGGATGTAATATGTTCCTACTGGCTTCTTGGGCTCCAGAGATAGAGAGGATATTTCCCAATTTAGGGAACTTCCTCCCTGGTGTCATGGAAAGAGCAATAGGACTGAAGTCAAAGGACCTGAGTTCAAGTCTTCTATTGACTCCACTACTTATGACCTATATGACTTTGGATATGTCACCTAACTTCCTTTGTTCTCAGTTTCTTCTTTAAAAAGAAAGGCTTGCATCTCTTCTGGCTTTAAATTGTTATCATCCTATGACTCTGCATAGCATAGAAGTACCTAGCTTCTGACATTCATTCATTCAATAAGCATTTACTGACTGCCTTGTGGAGGTGACTGTGTTAGGTTCTGGAGGGGAAGGTGATACAGGTAATAATATGGAGAGGAATAAAAAGAATTTTCCATCTTTGAAGAAAAACCAGTTTCATACTTGCTAATCTTGCAAATTCAAACCTACAAAACAGCAAACACTGCAAACAGTTTTTAGTCAGATGCAGTTTACAATTGTATAGCTTTAAACCTAGACCAGAAACATTTAGAGACAGACTGACTCATGAACAGACTGGAAATTTATAAGATTCCACACTTGCATTACAAATTATTTGATCAGTTTATAGATATTACCATGGTGTCATTTTATTGCTGACACTGACCCTTACTACTAAAGGTCATTCTCCATCTCTCTGATCCTCACTCCTTGTAGAGGAAAAAGTATAAATTCTTGGACTCCAGCAATTATGATCTCCTGAGATCAAAAAGTGTTATCTAAAGGAAAATCATGTCAAGAAGGGATTGATACATAGTTACTTCTGGTAAGAATTTTCTCTCAAAAACAATAACAGAGAAACAAAAAGAGGCATATATAAATGGGTACTAATTTTCAAGGCTACTTTGTACATGGCGATAAAAAGATTCCTCACCAATATGCAGTTATATATTACAAAATTTAAGTGTGCAGACACAAATTTTACTGAAATTTTAAGAATCTTTCATTGTTGAAAAGTTATATATTTATTTTGACAAGATCTTCAGACCAGATGCTGAAGTACATTCTTTTTCACATCTATGATTTCACCCAAATCTGAGATTGTGCTCCAGTGACCTAAGTGTGGGATCCCTTACCCAAGCATATATTTAAAAGAAAAAGGACCTATTAAAAATATTATACTAAGGAGACTTCTCCTTCCAAGGACAGTATCTAAAGAAAGGCATATGCTACCGAGGCATCCTCAGATGACTTGTATTAAGAGATATGATGACATTGATTTCCATAAGTCATACATAAATAGCAGGCTTATTACATTAGGCGCATCTTCCTACCCCATTTTAAACACCTGTGAGATGAAATCTTCTCCATTGGCAAAAATGGAGAACTTTAGTTCCTTAAAGGACAGAGACCTGCTGCTTTGGATAAAAAGAAACTAAGTGGATCAGTATCCGGATATGAAGGCTAACATAACAAAGTCCACGTAATGTTCATAATCTCAGTAATAAGATACTCCTGAGTTCTTTAGGGAACTAGAATCACAATAATGCTCTTGGGATCACCACCAGCAGATCACCCAATACTCAGGCATGTCAGCTGTGGACATGGTGGAATGGGCATTGAATGTGTGGTCAGAAGATGGACCTTTGAGATCCTGCTATGCCACTTACTAGCTGTGGAGTCTATGAAAGTCATTTACCCTCAGTATCTCAATTTCCTCATCTGTAAATTGGAGGTAATAGTATTTAATATTAATAAATTGGAAGTAATATTATTTACTCTGTCCACCTCATATGGTTTTTGTGGGAACAAAATGAGACAATGTATGTGAAAGAAACTTTGTAAAGCACTATGTAAGTGTTGAACAGTAGTAGTAGTAGTAGTAGTAGTAGTAGTAGTAGTAGTAGTAGCAATAGCAATAGCAGTAGCAGTACTAGTACTAGTAGTAGCGGTGGTGGTAGTTTAGCACCTGAAATGGAACTAAATTATACTTCTAAAACTGATTTTTTTAAACAAAGAAAAGAATTGATCCAATTACGACTCCTGAGTTTAGAAAAGAATGCACAGAAAGCTTATTTATGTTTTGGGGTTTTTCTGTCACTGTTATTGGTCCTCTCATTTGGCTCGTACATTCCTTGAGTCCATAAGTGGTGTTGCCTGTCACTGAGATGGGGATGGGGAGGAGGAGAAGAAGAGGAAATATCTTACCACAGCTAAGTATAAGGCTAACCTATTCTCAGACCTTAACAAAACAGTTTCTATCTTCTCAAAATTTCCAAATTTGCTACCAAAACTTTAATACTCCTACTAATAATAATAACTAGCATTTATATAACACTTACTATGTGCCAGTCACAGTGCTAAGCACTTTACACATATTACCTTAAAAAAATCTTCATAACCTTGAGAGCTAGGTACTATTATTATCCCCATTTACAGATGAGGAAATTGAGGCAAACAGAGATTAAGTGCCTTGCCCAAGGTCATATAGTGAGTATAAAGTCTGAGGCCAAATTTGAACCCAGGTCTTCCTAACCTGCACTTTGTCCACTTTGCCACCTTTTTGCCATAAAGATCAATGAACAATAAACTTATCTTCCATCTTCTTACTTTTCTATCCCAGCATAAATGAATATTTTTAAAAAATCTCACCTATGATTTCATTGACATATGGAACTCTCAGTGAGGAATGTCCTGTACCAGCATTGATTATCACCTTCTCCACAACTTAAAATCTCAGAGAGCTGCTTGGGGCACTAAGAGGCTTAGGTGACTTGCCTAGGACCACACTGTCAATAGGTGTCAGAGAACAGACTTGAACTCCAGGTCCAAGGCCAGTTTTCTACCCACTGCACCACATTGCCTCCCTTAAATGAAATTACACACTTTAAGGAATACATATATATAAACCCAATAAAGTTAGCTAAAAATACCAGAATGCAATTTAATTATAAATGCTAAATCTCAAATAGGGCATAATACTCCATTTTAAAAGCCCATGTTCTAGACAAATTGCCATTAATTTCAAAAAGATTTCTGTTTATAAAAGACATTCCACAAAAGAGTCATGAGTTACTTGACAGCCTGATGTTTTATTTGTTAGAGGAAAGCAAGTTCAGTGTCTAACATTTTCCTCATTTTCAAGGGTAGAAAAACATGCCTCCTCTTGAGATAGTTTAACTATAATTCTTGACCTTTCTAAAAAGTATTAAAAATGAGTCTACTGAATGGAATTTTTGTCAGTTAAAATGAAAAACAGCTAATTATTTATGTCACTTCATCTGTTTAAATAATATAGGTTGTGAGACTTAAGAACTGTGTCAACCACTCAGCTGGCAACCATGTGACTAAATGCTGGCCTATGCAAACACTCCCAAGACAAGATAGAATGAAGGAAGAATTAGAAGAGACTAATATGTCCAAGATGCAGAGAATGAATGTTATCATATAATTTGGGCTTAAATCTTCATTTATGTATGGTCATCCTACCTGGCAAGAGAGGCTCATTTTAAGTATTAAAAAAAATAACTCACCTTGAAAATTTGCTGGGGCCTTCACCATCTTCATCATCGAAGTCCATTCTGAAAAAGCAAGACCTCTGGTGAGCCTTTATCTAACTGGGTAAAATTCTACTTCAGCATTGGAGGGAGTAATCCAAATTGAGCCCTAGCCTTTGCAGTGCTGAAAATAAAATCACTGGATTGTCACCAAAGACAAAAAGACAATGAAGTCTTGCCACCCTGCCATAGGTACTGGCCAGGAACAGTGCCTGTCAGGGAGGTTCATTCAGGTGAGAAGAGGTAATTTTATGACTCAGGTCACACTGGACTCACAAGCGTGAGTTTTCACTGAAAAATTAAGGCATCTAAGCAGTGGTAAACTCCTAAGGAGGTCTCTGCAACCAGACCACAGATGGTTTTGAGTCAATGTCCACTGGAGAGGTTTTGGAGAAGCCAGTGTTTCCTTTATCCCAACAGATTTGGAAGATATCTACTCTAGACAGCTTGTATAGTTATATGTGTATATAACCTGGACATATTACATACATATATATATACATATATATATATATATATATACACATACATATAATACTATTTTCCAACATCTTTGTATGGATGTTTTATAATCTATACAACTTCAAGTTTTTTTTTAAGAAGGAAAGTTTGAAAATAACTACTTAAAATAAAAGTATATCAATCCATTGAATGAAAATCCTCAGACAATACCTAAAAGTCTAAGTACAAGAAGAGATTTAAGGCAATAATTAGCTTAAGATAAACCAAACTACTGAGAAAAAAAATAATATTTTTTGACCTGAGTGACCCAAACTGTCTGCTTACTTAATTTAATTAGCTACTTAAATTAATTTGTCTAGGCCTTCACTTAATTCTATATGATAAAAAGCAATACTAAAATGTGGAGGGTTTTTTTAGCTGTTTTCAATACAAACTTACTATAACCCATTATTTTTTAAAAAATGTGGTTTAATTTACATAATGCACACACTCAACGCCTTATGAAAGTTAACGGAATAATAATTCAGAGTGCCTCTGAACAGGTAGGTTGTGGCTCCTTAGGGACAGATGCCCTCACCCGACTTCTGACAGGTAATGGGGGAGCAGGGCCAAGGCAGGGGAGAAGAAGGGAAGGATACCACAGGCATCACTAGGAGTAAGACACAAATCACCCTGAGCATGCAGTCAGTAACAATGAGCCCTCCTGTCTTCCCCCTTCCCAGCTCAGCCTGCCCCAGAGTAGAAGTAATGGTCCCTTTATGGAACACAGAGAACCAACTGAGATTGTAAATGTAATCAATACCTCCCTCCCCCCCACCCCATACACCATGTATCATTAGGGAAGAACAATAAGATAAAGGGATGCTCCCTCTTTGAGGAAAGCAGAGACTTTACAAAGAGAGCTATCCTGAAAAAGTGATCATTTCTTGTTAAATCAGAAGGGGAACTGCCAGGCCCCTTCATGTCTAATATCCAGGGTGCCTGAAGAAAACAATGACATTCTAATGAAGAAGGCCATTCGCTACCCGTAGACCAGGTGGGAACAACCTTCCTAGCACGGGGCAATGAAAGACATGGGAGAGGTGTGTAGGAAAATTATGTTTTACTCTAAACAACTAAAGGAACAAACTTGAAGCCTTGGTGAAGGGCAGTGGTGGACTGTCATTAAAGTTGTTTTCAAGGGGGGAGCAGCTGTTGTTCTGAGGTTTGCCTTCTTTTCCTACATTAAGGCCAGCTCTGTTCACATAAACTCTGGCTTTGGTCACTATGGGTAACTTAAACATGGATCACACTAGTCTAAAGAGATAAGAACAAAAAGAGTTAGAAAACTGGTCTGGGCAGTAACAATAATATAAATAATATCTGTGAGTAGTGATAAAGGATGAAAGGGAGGAAATGGGAAGAAAGAAGTGCATATACAATCACATACATATCGACAGTATATAGACAATCTACTGCAAGGACACAGAAACAGAAATACTACATTTTGTAACTCAGTGTTAATGATCTACAAAAAGTCAGAACGAAGACTTAAGACAGAGTAAAAGCTAACAAAGAAAGGCTGGAAGAAGTCTGACTATTTAAAAAAAAAAAAAGCATTATGAAAGTGGTTACTTGTTTTAAACGGCCAGACAAGATTTTTTTTGAAAGTGAAGTTATAGCGAAAATAGTTTATATTGCATGTAATGGTTGTCATCACTGCTGTCATCAGTGCTTTGCTGAAAATTATACTTCACTCAATGATAGCAACAAAAAACAAACGATTAAGTCTCCAAACAAAAATACAGTAGAGATATGCTGCCCTCCAGTGGTCATTATGGGAAACTGAAGCCTTTATGTCAAACAAGGATACCTAACTTTTCAGAGCCAGCAAAAAATGTACCAAAATAATTAGAAAAATAGATGGTACTACTAGAGCCTAAGGAAAGTTGTCTCAGAAACAATTTGCCAAGGTTTCAAAATGCAGAAAGTACATTAAACTTTAAAATTGTGCTTTATTACAAACTCAAATGTCTCAACCTTTATAAATGTGAGTTAGATTATATTCTATAAGGGATAGCATGATATGGTGAAAAGAGCTCTGAACTTCAAAATCATAAGATCTGCGTTCAAGTTTTGGTTTAGTATTTACTAGCTGTGTGACCCCTGGGCAAGTTAGTTGAACTCTCTTGGCCTTTTTCCTCACTTGTAAAACAGACGTGACAATATTTGCATTAATTACCTCACATGGTTGTGACAAAAATATTTTGTAAACCTTAAAGTGCTCTACAATTGTGCTATTATTGAAATGTCATGTAAAATATGGTATTAATGTATATTATTAAAAATAAATAATTACATAAAATTTAAATAAGCCCTGATAGAATTATTTTTATAGTGTAGTCCTATTGATCCTCAGTCCCCACAATCATTTAGGTTTTTTTGAAATGCTAAGGCAACTCCGTATCCTTTTAAATTAGAAAAACGGAACGATCTGCATCGGCATCACAATGAAATGTTACAACTTGAGTCCTGTGTGTGCTTATAGTCCATTGTTGGTATAAGCAAGGGATAGTACCACTGCCTGGACCCAAAGTTCCTTAGATTTGTCAGAAATCCCAGGGAGTCAGACTGAACTGTCAATGGGAAAAGAAAATGGAGTGTCTCGATCTTGCTAATGAGTACAGAGCGGAGGCTGAATTCAGGAAATAATACAGAGTTTTAAAATCCTCCAAACAACTCACCTGTAACCAAAACACCAGATTGCTTATTCATTCAAGGCAGAATGTATGTCAGCAATGCATCAGAAGTAGCTCACACAATAGGACAAAGGATGTTTCAGAAATCTGTTGGCCCAGATAGTATTTTCTGCCTCCTCTTTAATTTCTTAATTTAAAATACAGCAAAAATGAGCTATGCTTATTTCCTTGGCTATCAAAAGTCCTAATAAACCATCCTTCATTTTGTCTGTCTTTTTACATGTCTTTATAATCCAGAATGAACTAAGATAATAAAGGCAATGAATCAAAATGTGACTTTTAAGTCTTATTTTATTCAATTTAAAAATGCAATACAATTAATGGATGAGGTTGGCTGAAAATGTATTCCCTCACTTCACTATTAATGGGAATGAACTCTTCCTTCCCAAAAAAATTGGGTAAGGCGCTTCTGGGTTGAAAATGAGTCTGGAGAGATATGATGGATAAGGATCTTTATAACTATTGTTGTGCAATAATAATGTATCATTGGTTATGACCAAAGAAAACAGATTCCACTGATACCCTAACAAAAAACATGCAACCAGGGATGTTTAATTTCAAGTAATATCAGCAACAACTGTAGTTCTTATTCTTCATGTAATTTGCCACTGCAGCAAAGAAAGAACCGAATACAAGTCTGATGTTTCTATAAACCGATGGCAAAATGTCTTCACTATGGTATGTATTTTCAATGTTTGAATGAACTCATTTGCAAACACAAATCAAATGAAACATTTCAGCAAATGAGTGCTTAAATTGGGCAAATCCATTGGGAAAGAAACCTCTAATTTCAGAGTGACGTAGAGGGGCTAAGATCTGCAAGATCCCAAAAAGGAAAGGTCTTAACCATAGACATAATTGTAAAGAAATTAACTTTAAAAAAAAATTAGCTCTTCATCTGACACCAAGGTGCAATGAAGCTACCTCCCACATAGGCATCATCCATTGAAATTAGAAAGGTTGAGAAAGGCCATTTTAAGTTACTTGCATCAATACCTTTCTAATAAGTCTACGAGAATCTAAAACTAATGTACCTTCACGGTGTCTCCTAAAAGGCAAACACAGGGATGCAAATAGTTTGCAGGAGACCCTCATCGAGGTCAAGGTTCTATTGGAAGTATAATCAACCCAGAGTAGCAGACATGGAGGATCCAAAAGAGAATAAACATTTCTATTGGCTTTGAAATTCATAAATAAATAACTAAGTCACATCATGATGACCAGCAGAGCAGGTAGGATTCTTGATCCTGTCTGTGGCTCAGCTTTTCCCTGTTTCTTCTTTCCATAATGGAAATGTGCCATCCCCTCAGCCTGATATAAAACATTAACCAAGCAAAGAAGATCTTTCTCTTCCCTCTTTCACTGTTATTGATCTGAGTCACATGTTTCTCCAGAATGGGAATGAAAAAGCAAGTGACTCAGAATAAAGAAGCTTGGGTTCTAGTTGCAGATTTGCCACCACGTCACTTGGAAAACTTCATGTCTCTGAGACTCAGTTTCCTTAGCTGTTAAACAAAAAGATAAAGTTTTATGATGTCTAAGGCCCCTTCCAGCTCTGATATTTTATTATTTAGACTCCTGCTAGGCTACGGGCTGTATTAAGTACTAAATGTAAATATAAACACACTGAGACCTGGGGAGCAGAGCTGTAGGACTGCCTTTTATTTGAGACCATCTCATAACAAGGCCTGTTAAATATTTAAGAAAGAAAGGCAGTGAAGCATAGCAGTTACAAGACTGGAGGCAGAATGACCTGGGTACAAGACCCATCTCTGACACATCTGGCTGTATGAATCTGAGCAAAGCAGCTAACCTAAATGCCCCAGGCAACTCTAAGACTAACAGAACAGTTTCAGATACGCACTGAGAGTGGAAGTTTCCTTCATGAAAGTTCCATATGTTGAAGAAAATACAACTCTGGATGTCTTTAAGATAAACTAACATCTCTGGATATTGTCCAATAGGCTTAAACCACAGTCTGCTTCATGGTGAATCTGTCAGTAAAGGATTTGAAAAATCAGAGTAGGTTAAAAAAAACTCAACAAAATTTGCTAAAGATAAACTCATATAGGGAGCTAGCTTGTTTGGGAAACCTTTCCTATTAGCTGATGAGGCTATGGAAAATTTATTTAAACAGAATTTTAAGAGCCTTTTCACCCAAGTATTCTGGCCCAACATAGAGAACAGGTGGGCAAATACAGCCAAAAATCATGATAAAGTATTTATTCATGGGAAAAAAATTAATCATGAACCTGTAAATCAGCGTAAAATGTTGTAAAAAATGAGGCAATTGGGATCTACCATTATTCTGTAAGCTAGCTCCATGTTGGGCTTTCTCTTCATCCTCTTGAACTGATCTTCCCTTGATTCCCTTTGTCTTCTCTCTGTGTTTTTCTCTTCATCTTTTGCTTTTTTGGGGGGGGAGGGATACTTTTAAGGAAAAATAGAAGTTAGGTCTCAGCTATAGCTACAGCTTTTTAAGTTTATCACCATGCCCAAGACATGATACTTATATGATATTGTCAGGTAAAAGGGTTCAGGTCTTTTCAGCTGAGTTACTGTGGAATGGTCAATAATACTAAACTAAATCATCAAGCACAGGGCACTCAGGAATTAGGATTGTCACACTTAATTTAAAATTTAAAAAAATTTTTAAAAATTTAAATTTTTTAAAAAATTAAAAAAAAAGACCAGAGCTAGGAATTAAACCCAGGTCCTCAGAACCCCAAAGGATCCTTACAATCTGAAAACTCTATGAAATTGAGTTGTTCAACATTAACTTTTCTTTCCCAAAATGAAATGTCAATGAAGCTTGATTTCAACACAGCAATCATGCTCACAAGTGCCAACACCTTCCTGGTTGGGGGGGTGGGGTGGGGGTTGAAGAAGAAGTGATGCTGAGTTAGCTCTGCACTGACTAGCTGTGGAACTTTAAGTGACTTACTTTACTTCTCAGGGCCTCAGTTTCCTCATCTGTAAAATGAGGGAGTTGAACCAGATGGCCTCAAAGGGTTTTTCCAATTCTAAATGGATGATACTATGAGAACGCCAACATATGAGGAAGACAAAAATCAGGATTCAGGACGCCAGAACTAAGAGAAGTAAAGGGAACAGCAAAGTTGGTCTCAATAGACACATGGCCAGTGTAAAGGTGAGCACCTTAAGCAGTTGGCTGTAACAGGTGCTGAACACTCACCTGCATCCCACCTCCCCTACCATCTGACTGGCTCACAGGTCAACTGCGGGCAATCCATCTACTTCCCTGACCAGGGCCCTGGATGAACTGCACTGAAAGTATCCTCTGTTAGTGCCCTGCTTCTCAGACCTCATCAGTAATCTCTGCCTCTCTGACTGGAGGATGGAGCAAAACGCTCCTCCCCAAACCTCCACTTAAGGAACATGACCAGACCAGTCATCTCCTCATATCCCAGTTGGCTAGACTTTGTTGCATATCTCCATCATGGCCCCTATGTTGGGCACCTTCCCTTCTTACCCTTTTCAGCTTCCTTTTGTCTTTTGTGTATTGTCTTCATCCATTTAGACTGTAAGCTACTTGAGGGCAAGGCCTCTTTCCTTTTTTGGATTTGTATCCCCAGAGCTTAGAGTGCCTGGCACATAGTAGGCATGTAATAAATGTTTAATATCTGACTAGTGACTGGGAAGAAGGAAGAAAAAAAAAAGCAATCCTTCTGCAGTAACCACAAATGAATTGTGGATAATGGAGAGTAAATCATGCCATAAACGTTCCCACTTATTATTCATCACCCAGATCATCTGATTAACATATACCTTTTCAACAGAACTAAGAGCCAGAGTTGTTTGATGCTTAAGTTTGATAACACTTTAGTAGCTTAGCAATTTAAAAAAAATGCCATATATGTTCTTTTGACAGAGGACATTGAAACAAGAGGTCTTAGACGTTATCTAGTGCAGCTAGATACATACAAGGAAACTGAGGCCAAGAGAAGAGAAGTTATTTACCCAAGGTCACACATTATAAAGACCAGAGCTAAGAATTAAATGCAGGTCCTCAGAACCCAAAAGGATCCTTACAATCTGCAAACCCTATGAAATTGAGGTGATCAACATTAACTTTCCTTTCCTGAAATGAAATGCCAACAAAGCATAATTTCCAAACAAAGGGCAGGCATTTGCTACAGAGGCTTTTTTCTTGCTCAGCCCACCACAAACCACATTAAGAAATGTAAATTAGTCATTGCCTTCCCTTCTGTGCTTATGATCAGGACTGATTATCCTCAGTGAGGTCACTGCAGACCAGCGAGTGCCTATTAAATGGCTTAATTAGAGTCCAGCAGGACACAGAAGCAGATTTTCCCAAGGACAGAGTTCTCATCAGTTTGGTGTAGAATTCACAATCACTTATATTGGCAAAGTCATGTGCATACTGCTTTAACTTACAAAAATCTCAGCATTCCTAAGGCAAACTGCTGATTTCCTATTCTAGAAGAAACGAGTACAAAATTGATTTCCCAGACAGGCCCCCAGCATGAAGGCTATCAGGGTTGAGTGACATTTACCAGTTTGAATTTGACCTTGAAATACTGAAGTTGCTTACCCGGAACGCCTCTTTCCTCCTCTAGCAGGCATGGATCCTGCCATTCTCACCTGCCCTGTTGCCATGGGGGCAACAGGCAAAGTCACTGATCCAGGGATATCAGAAGCCATTTCTGCAAATTCAGAACAAAACTCCATTAGTTATCTATGCCCAAAAACAAGCAACAAGACATACAAGGCTCTCTGGAAGGACTATTAACTAGTTCAAGCCAAGGGACTAAGAATTTAGTTATTGAGAAAGTGGTTTAAAAGAGGAAATGTCACTTTCAAAGGGACCTCATGTTCAACTCAGAGAGTGAATGGGAGAATCTGACTTTCCCAAGCACTATGGCTGTTGCCAAATGAAGAAGAATCATCGTTTGTTGCTTGTAGTTATACAAGCATTGGCCAGTTTGCTGTGAAACTATGGCATCAAATTCCTTCAACACAGCTGGCTCCTCTTTGAGGTGAGATTCATCTTCCTGTCTAGAGGGTTTCCCCTTTGGTAGTCAGAGACCAAAATAATTCCACAGGGTGCCTCGCAAATGGTGAATAAGGTGTCTTTACAAATATATTAATGCATCATACAAAATCTTTAATTTATACCCAGCAAGTAAAGGATTCCCAAGGAGGACCTGGCTTACTGCTTAGGGAATGCAGAGAACTAAAAGGATTTTTAAAAATAAATTCTAGTGGTGCTGTGCAGTCCTGACATATTTTACACATCCCCTCTATGAGAACACATATATTTGTAAGCAGTACAATTGTTCTGATTATTGTTTCTGAGAATGACTTCACGAGAATTTACTTGTATTAGTTCAACTCTCACTCAGGGATATAATGGAAGTGATAGCTTAAAACAATCCATTTCAGAAAGGCATTCAAGGATAAACAAAGGAATCAGCGTTCAAGTTAAAAGAAAAATAATGTCATGGTATGTTGACAGCACAATACAAGAGGACCTGGATAATGTGCATACTGTTTGTCTGTATGAGATCTAATTCATTCCTACATGTCATACTTCCTCCCCAAACAGCAATCTGAAAATGAACCATGTAACTGTCTTCACTTAATAATGTCAAAATGCATAACATTTTGTAAATACTATATGACTGAAGGCCAACTTGAACAGTTCTACTGGAGTCTTTCATAAAAGAATAAATGTTCCTATGGAACTTTGAGTAGTATGAAGATGCCTACTTTTCCCTATTTGCTTTTTACTGGACCTCTGATTGCATTGATCCAGGGTGCTCCTAGTAAGGAACATTCTTTATCCATACAGGTGATTACCTTCTCTGAAACTTATAGTTTTAGAGAATTGTCTGGGGTACTCAAAGGCCAACTGATTTGCTCAGGGTCATATAATCAGTATATGCCAGAGTTTGGATTTGAATTCAGACCTTTCTGACTGTGAGGCCAGCTTTTTATTCCATGCTATTTCTCATTTATAGTTCTTGCTATACTATAAATAGACACTAAAATTTATATTTAAATAATAATCTCTTCTTTAAAATAATTCTCTTTAATTTCTCACAAATTTGCTTTATTTTGGGTAGCAATAGCTCTAGAACAGCAATGTGAAATTAACAAACAGATAATCTAATAGTTATATTACTTGAATACCCTTCTGGTAAAAACCGTTTATTTTCTAAAAGATGGAATGAAATACACTGCTTGCAAACTGAGGATGAAGTTACTGCATCAAACTATTGGGTTGGATCTAGATCTGGACAAATTCAATATTAATCTAAGTAGTCTATAATCACACTCCCATTCCATCACCTCCTACAGTCCCAAGATCATTTAAACGTTTAACCAATTTAGAGAGTTTTCTGTGGTTGATAAGTAATGCATTTTGGTTATAAATGGCTTAACAAGTAAAAATCAGCAAAACAGTGGAACATCATTGCCATCAACGAGCACTTTCATATATAAATCCTTGACATTAACAATTAGTTTTTGAATATGGGTAAAGAATGATATTTGGATTTATGGATCATTAGTTGTGATACATCAATGGCAGGCTCTTGACCAGCATTAGAGTATATCTGACAAATGAATAATATATTTGCCTGGAAATCTGCAGATATGATTAAAACTATCTTTATATATTAAAATGGGATGGCAAAGACGAAAGATTAGCAGATATAATAAAGGAAGAAAAGTAGTAAAGAAGCTCAATAATTTACAAGAGGTAATATCTATCTAGGAAAAGGGAAAATAAAAAAGTGCATGGACTCAATAATCAGTGTAGAGTTGTTAATGCAAGAAAATCAGCCTGACAGCAAAGGTATCATTGAGATTTGGTGGGGTGACTGATGACTGAAATCTGGCAATGGAAGGATGTGCACTATTCAGAAAGAGATTAGATAAAAGGAACACTGGAATATCACTACAGTTAAGAAGATATACTCCTGTGAGGGTATCCACAATCTAAGAGGATAAGTATACTACATAAGTATAAGATATTAGATAAGTATAATGGAAAATGTTTGGGTGAAGAACAAATTTGGGGTGGGGGAAGTGACAGGAACAAAGGCAATGTTGTGGGTAAAGTTGTGGGTATTACAAACCACACAACCATAAGTAGAAAATGAAGGTGAATTCTGAAAGTAGTTCACAAAGTTGACACAGAGGTATGACACAGTTTGCATGGATGACTTCAACCACCTGGGCATCTGCTAGAGAGTTCTCTTTGCTAAAAGCACAGAGATTAATTTCACAGTTGGTAAATTTTAGACTTGTTTTTGCTGATAACTTCATTTTTTAGGCATTTACAAAGAGTTAGTTATTTGGGATATTAGCGATAACAAGAGTAAGAATATTTCTTCCCAATACCTCAGGGGCATACTCTCCACTATTCTACCTCAAACTCTGAAGAGAGTGGGCTCAGATTTAATCCAGTTCCTATGTAGCACTTGGTCCTCCCAAGTTCATATCCAAATTTAACATCTTTGTGTTAAGTCCCAAAGAGGCATCAATGATGAGCTGGCTAAAAACACCTGCATAGATTCAACTCTCAGAAAAGGGGAAGGGAATAAGAATTTAGATGGCACATATTATGTGTCAGGTAATGTGCTAAGCACTTAAAATATTATCTTATTTGATCTTCACAACTATCCTGTGAGGTAGGTGCTATTATTATGCCCAATTTTCAGTTATGGAAACTGAGGCAAAAAGCGATTAAGTGATTTGCCCAGGGTAACACAGCTAGCAAGTATGTGGAACCAAATTTGAATTCAGGTCTTTTTTATTCTAGGCCAAGCACTATGCCCATTGAGCCACCAGCTACCTCTAAATGACTCTCAATGGCTCACTCTCATGGCCTTTAAAAATCACAAGGTTGTAGCCTTCAATTTCCTTCATCAGATAATATATAGCAGGAAAAAGTCAGCTAGAGAAGACATCAAACCAATAATTTCATTCTTCAAAGGGAGCCTTCATTCTGAAACTCTGGGTAGGGCTAGAACCTGTACCTGTGATTTCATTAGTGTAGGGAACTCTGAGGGGAGGAAATGCCCTTGGTCTATAATTTATAATCTTAGAAAGTTGCCTAGAGCACTGACAGGTGGAGAGATTTGCCTAGGATCACATATTAGGAACGGTATTTGAACCCAGGCCATTTCCGGCTTCTAGGTCAGCTCTCTCTCCATTATGCCACACCCAGCTAAAAGTAGAACATGAACAATGAATTCTAGCAGTAGATCATGATGATACCATAGTCACAGAAGACTTTAACTTTCTGGATACCTGCTGGAAAGCTCTCTCAGCTCAAATCACTTAAATTCCATGACAAATTAGGAGGAACAGGTTGCCTAATTTGAAATACTGGGAACATGAAGGGGAATTTGTTATGCCATTTTAGAATTCATGGAATATAAGGAGACATAGAGGGCAGAATAGAGGCATGATGGTGGAGTGAAAGGTCACAACTGCCAAACATCTCCTAAAAACTCTCCTACAAAATTACCACAGAAAACACCAAACAGAATTCTGAGTAGGAAAGCCAAGAAAAAGTCATATTAAAGGTTGCAGTTCTAGTACAGAGAGGATTAGTCACAGTCATGAGGTAGCAGGGGCCCTACCTGTGTTAAGGACCAAGTGCAGACCAGGGGACAGTGACCAGACCTCTCTACTGATCACACAACACCGGAAGCCCCAGCTGTAAGACTGAGCTGTGCCAGTCATCTCCCTTAGAGGTGAACAGAGCCCAATCTTAACATAAAGTCCAAAGTCAAGAAATAGGCTGGAAAAATCAGAAAACAACAAAATAAGACCCTGACCATAAAAACTTGCTATGGTAACAGGGAAGCTCAAGACACAAACTTAGAAGAAGACGATGACCTGAAAACACCTACAACCGAAACCTCAAAGAAAAATGTAGATTAGACACAAACCCAACGATAATCCCTAGAACATAAACAGTTTTTTAAAAGCAAAAAAAAAAATTGAAAATCAATAAGAGTAGTAGCAGAAATTATAAATGAGTGCTATGCAGGAAAATTATGAAAAGAGATTTGACAGTTTGGTAAAAGAGGCACAAAAATACTAAAGAAAATAACTCCTTAAAATTCAGAATAGTCCTAATAATAAAAGAAGTACAAAAAACTACTGAAGAAGATAGCCACTTAAAAATCAGAATTCACCAAGCGGTAAAAGAAGTACAAAACCTTCTTTAAAATTATAATTGGTCAAATGGAAGCTAATGACTCCATCAAGACATCAAGAAACCAATAAAACAAAGTCAAAAGAATGGGGAAAAAAGAGGATGTGAAATATCTCATGGGAAAAACAAGTGACCTAGGAAATAGAACAAGGAAAGATAATTTAAGAATTATTGGACTACCTGAAAGTCATGATCAAAAAAAGAAGAGCCTACATATCATATTTTTTAGAATTATGAAGGAAAATTGCCCAGTTATGGAACTAGAAGGCAGAGTAGAAATGGAAAGAATCCACTGGTCACTTTCTGAAAGAAATCCCCAAAGGAAAAATCTCAGGACTATTATAGCCAAAATCCAGAGCTCCCCGGTTATGCAGAAAATACTGCAAACAACCAGAAAGAATAATACTGTGGAGCCACAGTCAGTATCACACAAGAATTAGTAATTACCACTATAAAGGATTAGAGGGC